TTTGTATTTTTAGTAGAGACAGCGTTTCACCATGCTGGTCTCTAACTCCTGACCTTGTGGTCCACCCGCCTCAGTCTTCCAAAGTGCTGGGATTATAGGTATGAGCCACCGCGCCTGGTCAGAATAAAGATTTTTAATGGAGGATTGAATGTTCTTCAGAAAATTTTCTTGAGGGCAAACAATGTAAACGTCTCCTCAGTTTACAGTGAGATTTTGAAAACAAGTCTGAGTTATAGGTCCTGGTGAAGGGTCCATTGGAAATACTTGTTTTACCAAAGTAAAATGCAAAGCAAAGTTAAAACCAGCAGTTGAAATTCAGAGAAAGACAGAAAAGGAGAAAAGATGAAATTCAACAGGACAAAAGGGAAAAATATCATCATCAAGGAGGAGACTATCCGCAGAGCTCATTCGTGATGGCAAAATGACTTCGTCAGGATTATTTTTAACCTGGTTGTTTCTGATTTGCCCGGCTGAGGATGCAGCTAGGGTTCTGCCTCAGGGAGCACAGCTGTCCAGAGCAGCTGTCAGCCGGAAGGTCTGAAACACTCCCTCGGCAAGTCCTTCCTACCCAGGAGAGAAACCATGAGAAAAGGGGGCTGGAAACAGGCCTCTAACCAGAGAAGGGAAGTAATGGATCAACGAAGTTAACTAGCAGGTTAGAATCATGCAATTCATTTCACTCTGACGGGTACCATGTGCAGAAACAGTGCAGGCCTATTGTATTTTCATGCAAAGTAGGACCCAAAAGTCCACTGAATTCCTTTATCTATGCCATATACTTCTTATCAATGCTTCCAGGACACTTTTCCTTCCTTATGGTAACAGGCTCTTTACACATACACACACACACACACACACACACACACACACTCTTACACACACCCCGCAAGGTGCAGGTAAAAAGATGTAGTTTCCTCTGCCTTTCTCATCTGTACAGCCCAGGAGAGTAGGTTAAATATAAAAGGGATTTATTGGTAAGAGATGATGCTTAATCTGTTTAACATTAGGCCTCAAAGAGTGAATTTATTTTCTTTTTCTTCTGTACTTATTAAGCACCTATTATGTGTTAAACTTATATATATACAAAGGGTTATTATATGCTAATATAGTAATAGTAATGGTGGTTGGTACTATGGTAATTAACATAAAAATTATCATTTAAAAATAAAGCTAATTATTATTGAATCTTTGTTAGTATTCGTTTTGTTTTTTATATGTTTTATTTTTTTAGAGACAATCTCACCCTGCTGCCCAGGCTGGAGGGCAGTGGTGCAATCATAGCTTGTCTGCAGTCTTGAACTTCTGGGCTCAAGGAATCCTCCCGCCTTGGCCTCCCAAAGTGTTGGGATTACAGTCGTGAGCCCTTGCATCTGGCCTAGTATCCATTTTGGATTCAAGTCACATATGCATTTTTAATTTTAAAATGATATAGCTAATTTTTACCTTACATGATGTGTATACTGGTAATAAATCTAGTTTGCTGCCTAAGGTTTAAAGTGCTTTCCAATAAGCTTCATGTATGATGAGATATTTAAATCAAAACAGATGGCTGGGTGTGGTGGCTTATGCTTGTAATCCCAGCACTTTGGGATGCTGAGGTGGGTGGATCGCTTGAGCCCAGGAGTTCATGACCAGCCTGAGCAACATGGCAAAATCCTGTTTTTACAAAAACATTCAAGAATTAGCCAGGTGTGGTGGCACGTGCCTGTGGTCCCAGCTACTAGGGAGCCGAGGCAGGAGAACCGTTGGAGCCCAGCAGGTCAAGGCTGCACTGAGTCATGCTTGCGCCACTGCACTCCAGCGTGGGTGACTGAGCAAGGTCTTGCCTCAAAGGAATAATAAGAAAAACTAAAAAAATTAATTGAGACAGCTGCAAAGAGCTGCTGTCCTAGATGATCGACTGAATTCGGTTGATATTTTGGTATTTAACTTTTAAACTTAGGGTCTATCACCTGTATTACATTATTAAAATATCAATTCTCAATGTATATCCACACAAAGACTGGTACATGAATGTTCATAGTACCTTTATTCACGAAAGCCCTAAAGTAGAAACATCCAAATGTCCATCAATAGGTGAATGAATAAACAAAATGTGCTATATCCATGCAATAGAATACCACCCTTCAGTACAAAGGAACAAGCTGCTTTGGGATGAATCCCAAAGTCATGATGCTAAATGAAAGAAGTCAGACATGAAGGAGGAGGTAAATGTGTGCTATACAAAATTCTAGAAAATGAAAGTAACTTATAGTTATAGAAAGCAAATCAGGGCAGGCATAGTGGCTCATACTTAATCCCACCACTTTGAGAGGCCAAGGTGGGAGGATTTCTAGAACTCAGGAGTTCAAGACTAGCCTGGACAATACAGTGAAACCCCATTCTCCACAAAAAAAGGGAAAAAGGAAAGCAAATCAGTGGTTGCCTTGTGGGGAGGGGAAGGACTGCAAAGGGGGAGGAATAAACTCTGGTGGGGTAAGGGTGGTGATTCAGGTTCTGTATTCTGACTATGTTAGCAATTTGGGGTGTTTACACCCAACAATATTCATAGAATTGTGCATCTTAAATGGGTAAAGTTTACTGTCTGTAAATTATACCTCAATGTAAGAAAAAATAATGAGTAAGAAAAGTTTCAATTCTCTTGCTAGCAAACGTTATTCAAATTCTTGATCCCTTTACTCGCAAATCCTCTGCACTTCTGCCCCATACCATTAGGTGACAGCACTAGCTCCACAAATTGGATAAATGCATTTCTGGAAAAGTCTAGGGACACAAACCAGGCACCACTTGTGCTTTCATATCAACCACGCTGTACAGCTTGTGTTGCTGTTTGCAGCAGCAATGGGGACTCTTGACTTCTCTAAAGAAGCTTGGGTTACCAGAGTATTTCCACAAATGCTATTCAAGTTACTCTTCTGATATGCAAGACACTCTGCTAGGAGACAGAAAACAGAGGAGGAGAAATCAGTCACTATGCAGGAACAACATAGCAAGATATTCAGATTACTTTGCTTAGTTAAAAAAGCAGCAGAGTGCAAAATCACACATGCGATCTGTATAATCCAAATTTAGTAAATATGTACCATAGAAAGACAAGAGGAATAAACACAAGAATCTTAACAGTCATTGTCATTAGACGCTATGTCTATTTATGATTATTAGACACTGATAGTCTAGATTAAAAACATCTTTAATATTTTAAAATTTAGAACTCTTCTATTTTTCCATGGTATTCAAGTTTGACAGCAATCAAACATTATTCTTTTTTTTTTTTTTTTGAGATAGAGTTTTGGTCTTGTTGCCCAGGCTAGAGTGCAATGGCACTACCGAGGCTCACTGCAACCTCCACTTCCTGGGTTCAAGTGATTTTCCTGCCTCAGCCTCTCGAGTAGTTGGGATTACAGGCGCCCACTACTACTCCCTGCTAATGTTTGTATTTTCAGTAGAGATGGGGTTTCACCATGTATAATTAAAAAATAGGCCAGGTGCAGTGGCTCACGCCTGTAATCCCAGCACTTTGGGAGGCTGAGGTGGGTGGATCACCTGAGATCAGGAGTTTGAGACTAGCCTGGCCAAAATTGGAAATTACTAAAACCAATCTCCACTAAAAATATAAACATTACCTGGGTGCAGTGGCAGGTGCCTGTAATCTCAGCTACTCAGAAGGCTTATGGGGGAGGATCCCCTGGGACTGGGAGATTTGCCTGAGCCTGGGAGATTGAGGCCACGGTAAGCCAAGATCATGCCACTGTACTTCAGCCTGGGCAACAAAGTGAGAACCTATCTCAAAAAAAAAAAAAAAAGAAATTTAGGTTGAGGTCCAACTGTAAAAAGTGGCCTAAACACCACATTAAAGAGTTTGGAGTTTATTCTGCGAGCAGAAGAGAACCATCAGGGGTCTTCAGCATGGGGATGGCATGGTGCACCTGGGTTTTTGTGAGATCATGGTGGTGACAGTGTGGAGAATGTTATTTTGGAGGGACTGGAGGCAGAGAGACCAGTTAAGAGGCCAGCACAACAGATAAGGCGGAAGAAGATGAGGGCTTGGACCAAAGCAGAGAAGAGAGCAAACAGAGAAGACATAAATTCAAGAAATATTTGGGGGTTTGAATCAACACATTTAGATAATTAATTAAATAGGAGGACTGAGAAAGAAGAAATGAATCAAGGATGGTTCCAAGCTGTTAGCCTGCTTACCTGAGGCTGCAAAATCAGGAGGAGAGGCAGTTTAGGACAAGGGGCAGTTGAGGAGTATTGTTTTGATCATTTTGAGTTTGAGGTACAAGTTGGACACTTAGGTAGAGACTGGAGGGAAAAATCTGAAAATATAGTTATGGAACTGAGGAAGAAGTTTATTTTATTTTTTTGTTTTGTTTTCTTGTTGAAGAACAAATTTAATTGTAATTCCAAGTCATCAGCATCTAGAAGACAGTGGCAGGAGGTAACCACCTTGTGGGTAAGGGTTTGGGGTCCTTCATGAGTATCTCTCAATTGGCCTTAAATATAAGCAGGAAAAGGAGTTTATGGTGGATCTCTCAGTAGAGCTCAGTATGGCTTAGGCAACCAGCAGAGGAATCCAGAGAATCTTCTCTGGTTTAGTCCAAGTAATAATTTCTTTAAAAAGTTGAAGGAGGCCGGGCGCGGTAGCTCAAGCCTGTAATCCCAGCACTTTGGGAGGCCGAGGCGGGTGGATCACGAGGTCAAGAGATCGAGACCATCCTGGTCAACATGGTGAAACCCCGTCTCTACTAAAAATACAAAAAATTAGCTGGGCATGGTGGCGTGTGCCTGTAATCCCAGCTGCTCAGGAGGCTGAGGCAGGAGAATTGCCTGAACCCAGGAGGCGGAGACTGAGGTGAGCCGAGATCGCGCCATTGCACTCCAGCCTGGGTAACAAGAGCGAAACTCCGTCTCAAAAAAAAAAAAGTTGAAGGAAAATACAGAGTAACCAGATAAGGAACTGTTCTTTTGCATTTCCTCTCCTCCTCTTACCCACAGCCTCTTGATGAACCAGAAGAAGTTCCTTTACCATTTCAAAAATGTCCGCTGGGCTAAGGGTCGGCATGAGACCTACCTGTGCTATGTAGTGAAGAGGCGGGACAGTGCTACTTCCTTTTCACTGGACTTTGGTCATCTTCGCAATAAGGTATCAGTTAAACACGGCTTTGTAAGCAGTTTAATGGTCAACTGTGAGTGCTTTTAGAGGCACCTGTTGATGGTATTACTTCCATCCTTTTTTCATTTGTATCTCTATTACATTCCTCAAAGCCCTTTTTTCTTTCTTTTTCCAGTGACTCAATTCTGTTTTCCAAATGATTTCCCTCCTACTTACATGAATCGTAGGCCAGTGAATATTCAACAGGGTGATCCCCAGAAAACTCAGAGAAGCCTCTGCTGATTGATTAGTTAAATCGATCTTTCAGCTACCCAAGAGAATTACATTTCCGAGAGACTTCTTCACCAAAATCCAGATGGGTTTACATAAACTTCTGCCCATGGGTATCTCCTCTCTCCTAACATGCTGTGTCGTCTAGTCTTGGTGAAATCTCAATGAAGCATCCATGGGGTGGAAGGTCATCATCTGGCTCATTGTTTGATAGTCACATTACCATGCAATTTTCTTTGCCTACATTTGTATGAGTATATCCCAATCTCCTTCCTATTTGATGATATGACACATTCCATTTCAGAAGGCGTTGATTTTCCCAAGCGCTTTCATTTACTTCTCATGGCAGTGCCCATTACTTCTCTTACGACACCCAATCTGTCTGCTTTACCAAAATCGACTTCCTGTTTTTAGATCTCCCAACTGGTCCTCATAAACTGTCCTACCTCCACCTAGTGGTCCAGGTACATTTCCACAACGTTACATCAACGGGCACGTCCAGTCATTTTTCTTCTCAAAAGGTGCAAAAAGCAACTTCATAAACACAAATCTTCACTGAGGTTGTGTCATGCCACTTGCAACTCAGCCACTTCATCTTCCTCTTTACACCAAAACACATAGCCTTCCTTCACTCTGTAGGACTAGTGCGCCAAGGGTTCAGCTCCACGTAATGGTGTGTTCTTTTGAGCAAGTTGCTTCGCTTCTCTGTAACACGAGGACAATAGTTGCAATCATCCCCAACGATCACCGTAGGAGAGAATGAGTAAGGCTACCAGAATCACAATAAAAGTCAGTGAATTTCTGCGGGGTCCTCTCTGTCTTCCCAGAATGGCTGCCACGTGGAACTGCTCTTCCTCCGCTACATCTCGGACTGGGACCTGGACCCTGGCCGGTGCTACCGCGTCACCTGGTTCACCTCCTGGAGCCCCTGCTATGACTGTGCCCGACATGTGGCCGACTTTCTGCGAGGGAACCCCAACCTCAGTCTGAGGATCTTCACTGCGCGCCTCTACTTTTGTGAGGACCGCAAAGCTGAGCCCGAGGGGCTGCGGAGGCTGCACCGCGCTGGGGTGCAAATCGCCATCATGACCTTCAAAGGTGAGGGAGGGCCTTCCGCGCAGGCGCAGTGCAGCAGCCCGCATTCGGGATTGCGATGGAGAATGAATCAGTCGGTGGGGAAGCTTTAGGGGAAGACTTGGGCGGAGATTCTGGTTCACTTTTGGGGCCGAAATTAAAGATTAAAAGTAGAGAAAAAGGCTGGGCGCGGTGGCTCACGCCTGTAATCCCAACACTTTGGGAGGCCGAGGTGGGCGGATCACGAGGTCAAAAGATCGAGACCATACTGGCCAACATGGTGAAACCCCGTCTCTACTAACCCGCGCCTGTGGTCCCAGCTACTTGGGAGTATGAGGCAGAAGAATCGCTTGAACCCAGGAGGCAGAGGTTGCAGTGAGCTGAAATTGTGCCACTGCACTCCAGCCTGGCGACAGAGCAAGACTCCGTTTAAAAAAAAAAAAAGTAGAGAAAAATGCCTAAAGTAAAATTAAAAAATAAATAAATAAATAAAAGTGAATGGCTCGGAGACAAGGCCCAGAGGAAATGAGAAAAAGGGGTCAGGCCTTGCTTTCTTTCCCCTCGATTTGGAACCTGAACTACCTTCCACCCTCATATCCTCACCATTTATTTTTCTTTTTTTAAGATTATTTTTACTGCTGGAATACTTTTGTAGAAAATGGTGAAAGAACTTTCAAAGCCTGGGAAGGGCTGCATGAAAATTCAGTTCGTCTCTCCAGACAGCTTCGGCGCATCCTTTTGGTAAGGGGCTTCTTTGCTTTTTAAATTTTCTTTATTTCTGTGTAGTCTTGATTTGGAGCTTCGTTTATTTCTCATATTTTCTTCTTGTTTAATCATTCTCAGTTTTCATATAATGAAAACTATTCCTCCTCCACATCAGTTTTTTCTTGTGCTGTTTCACCATTCAGAGCCCTCTGCCAAGGCTCCTTTCTCTCCTTTTTCTTTCTTTTGTTGTTTCACATTTTTAAATTTCTGTCTCTCCTCAGGGCTGTGTTTCCTTCCTGGTCAGAATTCTTTTGTTCTTTTATCTCCCTTTTAAAAAATTTATTCATTTATTTATTAAACAAACAAACAACAAAAAAAAAAACCAAGCCTCTTTCCCAATTTACTTTCTTCCAAAATGTTACAGTCATCCACTCAGTTTAGAAGCCTCCCAGGCCCCGCCAATCCCCAACACAGTTTTGAAGCCATTGACTCAGTTTGCCTCTCTCTTTCTCTACAGCCCCTGTATGAGGTTGATGACTTACGAGACGCATTTCGTACTTTGGGACTTTGATAGCAGCTTCCAGAAATGTCACACACGATGAAGTATCTCTGCTGAAGACAGTGGATAAAAAACAATCCTTTGAGTCTTTTTCTTCTTCAACTCTCGCTTTCTTAGAGTTTAGAGAAAAAATATTTACGTATGACTCTTTAAAAAGATCTATGTCTTGAAAATAGAGAAGGAACACAGGCCCAGCCAGGGACATGCAGCAACTGGTGCAGTTTTAAATGCAACATTGTGTCCTACTGGGAATAACAGAACTGTAGGGCCTGGGAGCATCCAAAGCTTCAATGTTTTTCTATGACGTTTAGACAAAGGAGAGTAGAAGGTAGATCCTAAAAAGCATGGTGAGAGGATCAAATGTTTTTATATCAACATCCTTTATTACTTGAATCATTTGAGTTGACAATGGTGCTAGTGATAGATTTTTCAACTCTTTTCCCTTGACGTTTACTTTCAAGTAACACAAGCTCTTCCATCAGGCCATGATCTGTAGAAGCTCCTAAGGAGAGTATATGTATGATTGTGACCCCAAACCATCTCTCCAAGGCATTAATATCTAAGCATGTGCTGTATGTTTTAATCAGCTGAGGCATGTTTTTATGTTGTACAAAAGAAGTTTTGGGTGGGGATGGAGGCATAGACCATGCATGGTCACCTTCAAGCTATTTTAGTAAAGGATCTTAAAATGGACAGGAGGAGTGAAGAAGACATCTTAATAATGGGTTGATATCTCACGTAGCAAATCTTCTGGAAACACAGACTCTTTTAAGGAAGTCCCTAATTTAGAAACACCCACAAACTTCACATATCATAATTAGCTAACAATTAGAAGGGAGTTGCTTGAATGTTGGGAAGAGAAAAATCTATTGTCTCTTGTGGGTCTTTTAATCTCAGAAATGCCAATCAGGTCAAGGTTGGCTACTTTTTCTGTGTGTGATGCTTCTCCCAAAGATATGTTAACTATGTAAGAGACTTGTGACAAAACAAAATGATAAAGCTGGGAACCGTGGCACACACTTATAGTTCCAGCTGCTTGGGAGGCTGAGGAGGGAGGATGGCTTAGAGCAGCCTGGGCAACATAGCAAGACCCTGCCTCTTAAGAAAAAGAGAGAAAGGGCTGGGCGCGGTGGCTCACGCCTGTAATTCCAGCACTTTGGGAGGCCGAGGTGGGTGGATCACGAGGTCAGGAGTTCAAGACCAGCCTGGCCAACATGGCGAGACCCCATCTCTACCAAAAAGACAAAAATTAGCCAGGCATGGTGGTGGTGCTTGTAATCCCATCTACTCAGGGGGCTGAGTCAGGAGAATAGCTTGAACCCGGGAGGCGGAGTTTGCAGTGAGCCAAGATCATGCCATTGCACTCCAGCCTGGGTGACAAGAGTAAGACTCCGTCTCAAAAGAGAGAGATAGAGAGAGAGAGAGAGAGAGAGAGAGAGGGAGAGAGAGGTTGAGAGAGAAAGAGAATAATATTTGGGAAAGAAGAATGGGAAAGCATTGCAAGGAAATTGTGCTTTATTCAATTAAATGTAAGGAGCTAATGGTGGGTCCCTATTTGTCTCTATTGGTGCCTATTTGTCCCTAACAACTGTCTTTGATAGTGAGAATATATTCAGAACAACCACATTCCTGTGCAGTAATGACTTAGCAACCCTTGCAATAAAGATGAACAGATCCATTGGGAAACTCGTATGCACAATTGTCTTATTTTAATCTTATTGTACAAAAGTTTATAAAAGAGTTAAATGTTAAAAATTGTTACTTCATGTATTCATTTATATATTATATTGTGTCTAATGATATTTTTATTAACATGATTTCTTTTTCTGATATATTGAAATCGATTCCCAAAGCTTCATAAATTTATAACTTTAGCAATGATTCTAATAATAATGTATGTATTTGTAACTTTGCAGTAATGGTGCTATGAGGCCATTTCTCTTGATTTTTAGTAAACTTTTATGGCAGCAAATTTGCTTCTGGCTCACTTTCAATCAATTAAATAAATGATAAATAATTTTGGAAGTTTTGAAGATAAAATACCAAATAAAATAATATAAAAGTGATTGATATTAAGTTAAAATAAAAAGTCAGTATGATGGAATAAACTTGAGAGTCTAGAATTTAACCCATCTGTAGGCAACTAATTTCTCACAAGGGTGTAAGGACCGTTCAATGGAGAAAAAATGATCTTCTCAACAAATGGTGCTGAGCTAATTGGATGTCACATGCAAAAGAATGAATTTGAGTCTCTACTACACACTACATACAAACATTAAAAATTTATCAAATACCTAAATATTAGAGCCTAAATTATAAACTCTTAGAAAGAAACATAGGTGAAAATTTTTATGACTTTAGATCAGGCAACAATTTCTTAATTATGACACCAAAAGCACAAGCAAACAAAGAAAAAAATAAGTTGAACTTCATCAGAATTAAAAATCTTTGTGCATCAAAGGACACGAGTAAGAAAGTGAAAAGACAACCCACAGAAATGGGAGAAAACACTTGCAAATCATGTATTTGATAAGGGTTGTGATATATATATATGTTTTTCCCCCCATAATTCCTGGCTTATAACCCCCCTAACCCTCATGACAGTCATTTGTTATAAGGTTGGATACTTCAGGCCTCAGAAGCAAAACTCTTTCTTTGACCTTCTCTTGCCCTCCTGTCTCTGGTCCCTCATTCTCCCCTGAGGCCAGCCATAAAAACTAGAATCTCTTTTTCACAAGGCAGTCATAGAAACCAGCACCTCTATACACCATGGAATATGAGTTTGTGTCCTTTGTAGGGACATGGATGAACCTGGAGACCATCATTCTCAGCAAACTGACACAAGAACAGAAAATGAAATACCACATGTTCTCACTCACAGGCAGGTGTTGAACAATGAGAACACATGGACACAGGGAGGGGAGCACTACACACTGGGGTCTATTGGGGGGAATAGGGGAGGGACAGCAGGGGGTGGGGAGTTGGGGAGAGATAGCAGGGGGAGAAAAGCCAGATACAGGTGAAGGGGAGGAAGGCAGCAAATCACACTGCCACATGTGTACCTATGCAGCAATCTTGCATGTGCTTCACATGTACCCCAAAACCTAAAATGCAATAAAGAAATAAAAAGAAACCAGCACCTCCTTTCCCCCAAACCAGTCATACAACTTAAAATATTACTCTAATTCCCCATCCTTTCCATATATAAAAACTGGCTATAAAGAAGTAATCTGACTGGGCATGATGGCTCATGCTGTAACCTCAGCAATTTGGGAGGCCCAGTCAGGCAGACGGCCTGAGCACTGAGACAGGCTGAGTTCAAGACCAGCCTGGGCAACAGGTCAGTCTCTACAAAACTTAGCCAGGCACGGGAGCACACATCGGTAGTCCCAGCTACTCAGGAGGCTGTCTCAAAAACAAAACAAACAAACAAACACAAAATCTGACCTACCTTGTTGGATTGTACATCATGAGACCCTCATTCCATGAGAGGGTCCTGTGCATATCCTGGGTGAAGGAATGGTGCACAGAGAGGCCAAGAAGAATCTGAACAGACAGACCTTGCTGGGTTTCCAGTCTAAGTATGATCTAAAAAAAGGTATTAGATCATACCTTTTTTTCTTTTTTTTATTTTGAGACAGAGTCTTGCTTTGTCGCCCAGGCTGGAGTGCAGTGGCACTATCTTGGCTCACTGCAACCTCTGCCTCCTGGGCTGAGGTAACTCTCCCGTCTCAACCTCCTGAGTAGCTGGAACTACAGGCGCCTGCCACCAAGCCTGGCTGATTTTTGTATTTATATTGCAGATGGGGTTTCACCATATTGGCCAGGCTGGTCTCAAACTCCTGACTTTAGGTGATCCGCCTGCCTCGGCCTCCCAAGGTGTTGGGATTACAGGTGTGAGCCACTGCGTCCAGCCTTGATCATACCCTTTTTTCTTATCATATTTCTACATGGTTGTCCATGCTTCAGCCATGCCTATCCAATGAAGTCTCTATAAGGTCCAAGAGGACAGGGTTTGGGGAGCTTCCAGAGAACTAAACACAAGAAGGTAAACAAAACTCATCCATGTCTACAGAAAAATACAAAAACAAACAAATCCAAACTCATCCGTGTGATGGGAGGGGTAGCATATCCCAACTCTTGGGGGACAGAAGCTTCTGTACTCAGGGCCCCTCTAGACTTTGCCCTACGTATCTCTTCCTCTGCTGTTTATTTGTGTCCTTATCCCTTGTAATAAACCAGTAACCATAAGTATTTCCCTGAGATCTGTGGGCAGTCCTAATGAATTTATCAAACCCAACAAAGGTCCTGGGAACCCCAACTTGAAGTGACTGGCCAGCAGTTCCAGAGGCCTGGACTTGTGACTAGCGGGAGGGAGGGGATGATCTTGTGGGACTGAGCCCTCAACTTGTGAAATCTGAACTATGTCCAGGTAGATAGCATCTGAATTGAACTGGAGAATACCCAGTTTATATCTGCTGCAGAATAGATTGCTTGCATTGATTACAGAAGTCTTCTGTGTTGATTGTTGCTGTGGTATGAGAACAGAGGAAAAAACAGTTTGTGTATTTTTTCTACTCAAAAGTCTAATATCCAGAACATATAAAGAACTCTTAGGTTGGATACAATGGGTAACATCTATAATTCCAACACTTTGGGAGGCTGATGAGGTGGCATTGCTTAAGCCAAGGAGTTCAAGACTAACCTGAGATGGTGAAACCCCCATCTCTACAAAACAATTAAATAAATTAGCTGGGCAGGGTGCTATGAGCTTGTGGCCCCAGATACATGGAAGGCAGAGGCAGGAGGATCTCTTGAGCCAAGCAAGCCAAGGCTACAGTGAGCCATGTTCACACCACTGCACTCTAGCCTAGGTGAGAGAGCAAGATTCTGTCTCAAAAAAAAAAAAAAAAAAGGAAAGAGAAGAAAACTCTTATAATTCAACAACAAAGGGCAAACAACCTCATTTAAAAATGGCCAAATGGCCACTTAAGAGACTTAAATAGACATTTCTCTAAATATTTACAAATGGCCAATAAGCACATGAAAAGATGCTCGATATCATTAGTCACTAGGGGCATGTAAACTAAAACCATGAGATACTACTTTATACCCACTGGGGTGGCTATAAACAAACACACACACACACACACACAAACCCAATCATGAGTACTGTAGAAATTGGAATCCTCACATATAGGCTGGTGAAAATATAAAATGACGCAGCAGTTGTGGAAAACAGTTGGCAATTCCTCTAAAGTTAAGCACAGAATTACCATATGACCCAGCAATTCTACTCCTGGGTATATATCTAAGAGAATTAGATAAATTAGATACATTTGTTCAAACAAAACCTTGTACATGAATGTTCAAAAAAGCATATTTATGATGGCCAAAAAGTGGCACACCATCAACTAATGAATAAACAAAAGGCAGTATGTCCATACCATGGAATTTTATTCAGTCATAAAAATGAATGAAGTGCTGATACTTGCTACAACATGGATGAACCTTGCAAACATTGTGCTATCTGAAATAATTCAGACACAAAAAGTCACTCCTTGCATGATTCCATTTATACAAAATGTCCAAAATAGGAAAAATCCATAGAGACAGAAAGATTTGTGGTTGTCATGGATGGGAGGGAGGGGGAAATGAGTAGTGTCTACTTAATGGGTATGAGATTGTTTATATATATATATATATGTGTGTGTGTGTGTGTGTGTGTGTGTGTGTGTGTGTATTATTGCACTTTAGGTTCTGGGGTACATGTGCAGAACATGCAGGATTATTGCATACATACATACATACATGGCAATGTGGTTTGCTGCCTCCATCCCTATACCTGGCATTTCTCCCTGTGTTATCCCACCCCAACTCCCTACCCCCCGCTCAACTTCAGCAGTCTCAGGATACAAAATCAATGTGCAGAAATCACAAGCATTCCTATACACCAATAACAGACTTAAAGAGAGCCAAATCAAGAGCAAACTCCCATTCACAATTGCTCCAAAGAGAATAAAATACCTAGGAATACAACTAACAAAGGATGTAAAGGGCCTCTTCAAGGAGAACTACAAGCCACTGCTCAATGAAATAAGAAACGACACAAACAGATGGAAAAACATTCCATGCTCATGGTTAGGAAGAATCAATATTGAGATTTTTTTTTGAGGGTGATGAAAATAGCCTGGAACTAGATAGCCGAATTATATAAAAATTTTAAAAGTCAGTATGACTTTTTTTTTTTTGAGACAGAGTCTTACTTTATCACCTAGGCTGGAGTGCAGTGGCATGATATTAGCTCACTGCATTTCTGCCTCCTGCGCTCAAGTGATTCTTCTGCCTCAGCCTCCTCAGTAGCTGGGATTACAGGTATGTGCCACCACACCTGCCTAATTTTTGTATTTTTGGTAGAGACGGGGTTTCGTGATGTTGGCCAGGCTGGTCTTGAACTCTTGGCCTCAAGTGATCTGTCTGTCTCAGCCTCCCAAAGTGCTGGGATTACAGGAGTGAACTACTGTGCCTGGCCTGTCACTAAGACTTTAAAGTCAAGGAAACCTAAATTCGAGTTCTGGTTCCATGTGACAATGGGTTAGAAAGTTAACCTCTATGAAGCCTTAATTTCTTTCCCCTCTGTAAAATGGGTCATTAATATTAACATTTCACCTATCTTTGGCTCATGCCTGTATCTCAGCACTTCAAGAGCCATGAACATGGCTCGTGCCTGTAATCTCAGCACTTTGGGAGGCTGAGAAGGGTGGTTTGCTTGAGCCCAGGAGTTTGAAACCAACCCGAGCAATGGAGTGAAACCCCATCTGCACAAAAATTACAAAAATTAGCTGGGCTTGGTGATGTGCATTTGCGGTTTCAGCTACTCAGGAGGGCTGAGGTGGGAGTACTGCTTGAGCCCAGGAGGCAGAGGCTGCAGTGAGCCATGATCACACCACTGCACACCAGCCTGGATGACAGAGTGAGACTCTGTCTCAAAATAATAATAATAATATTTTTGGTAGGTATTAGATGATAATAAAAAGCTGGTGCTGTCTCAATGAATGGCATTGCCATCCTTTGTGTTTGCAAGGCAGAAACTTAGAAATCCCCCCAACCTCATCTCTGCCCACATAGCTAGTCATATAGACTTATTTTCTAAATATCTCTTGAATTTACTTTTCTCTATCTCTTCTACTATCCCCTGAGAAAGATGAAAAGAAAGCAGCTCCTGGCGATTGAAAGCTGGCTTGATACACATAGCTAAGACAAATTATTTTCCTATTGGCCATAAACAGTCTCCCAACCTCGGAAAAAGTTACTCTAAGACTATGATAAAACAAGAGAAAGCAAAGTCTCTTCATAAGTTTTTCTAAATATAGACAAAAATTAAACAAGGTTACTGTGTCACCTACAAAATATCAAACACTCATTCTCTTGGCTAAAAATGAATGACTGCTAATTTTTCTTTTTGAATCTTAAATTGTCCTCTTTTGCCAGCCCTATTCTTCGGACAGCCCTCCTAAACTGAGAGGGAGATCGCTGTGTGTCCTGCCAGATTACCCTGTTAGGACTGAGCATGGGGGAGCAGAAATGGCATAGGCCAGGGCAAGTGACTGCTACTTTTTTACCAATTACAGCTTTATCCTTGTTCTAATATGCCTTCTCTGAGATAGTATCTATTCATATACACTAATAGATATTATCAGTTACAGAATGGACCTGATTCCCTGACATCTGATCAAGAGCAAGTCTTCATTTTATTTGACCTTCCCTGCAAATCACCTGACTGTCATGAGTGGGATAAGGTGAGAAATAATCAACTCTATGAATGTTTTTGTGTTTTTACCATGTTAGGATTTTGTCGTTATTTTAATCACAAAAGTTACAAATGACATGGAGTTCTTAAGGAGTACAGTTTTTAGATTACTTTTTGTTTCTTTGGTGGTCAGAGCAGCGGGCCCACAGGCTCAAGTCACTTTATAAGTCAGTCAGTATTGCCAACTGCAAGGCCGGTTGCCTCGCCGGGAGTCAAACGGACACATTCATCACTCTCTGTGCCTGATAACTACGTCATCACCCAAGCTCGTTATCTGGCCTTGCCACATGGCTTCCCTGCACCCGCGTCTGCATACCATACCCAAGCCCACACTCAGCACTAAATTATGCATCCAACCTCCAGCCCGCTGTTGAAAAACCCTGCAGAAAAAATTTTAAAGAAGCCCCACCATACCCTGCTAGGCAGCAGCCTGCCCCTTATGCCCCAGGCAGGTCCGATTACTCAAGGTCCCACCTGCCAACCAATGTATTGCCTGCTTCTCAATAGCCAATGAAATCGCCTTCCCTTTGTTTCCCAATAGCCAATCAATTGCCTTCCCTCCCCATAAAATCCTATGCCCTAAACAGCGGAGTGCAACTTCTTTGGCCCCTTCCTGGACTGCAGAACCTCGCCTGGAGCTGAATAAATTAGCTTCTCATTTTCTTATACTTGCCTCAGTTTCCTCATTTTACCTCGGCAATAAACTTTACACGAACCATATATTTTAGGTTAAGAATTTTACAATAAACAAAGTAACATTTACCGTTAAAAAAAAAAAAAGAGCTAGAAGAAAGGGTCAGTGAACTAGTTTAGTGGGAGTGAAGATGACCAAAGGAGTCCAGGTTTGGACTGGGTGGTTTGCTGGTAATGTAGGAAGGCTAAGGTGGCAGAGCCTTTGGTGGCAGATGCCAGGTTTCTGTCATGAGTGAATGCAAGAAAATGTCAGTTTGGTAAAGTGTCTGTTCATATCCTTTGCCCATTTTTGAATGGGCTTGTTTTTTTCACGTAAATCTGTTTGAGTTCTTTGTAAATTTTGGATATCAGCCCTTTGTCAGATGGGTAAACTGCAAACATTTTTTCCCATTCTGTTGGTTGCCAATTCACTCTAGTGACTGTTTATTTTGCTGTGCAGAAGCTGTAGAGTTTGATTAGGTCCCATTTGTATATTTTGGCTTTTGTTGCCAATGCTTTTGGTGTTTTGGTCATGAAGTCCTTGCCTACTCCTATGTCCTGAATGGTTTTGCCTAGATTTTCTTCTAGGGTTTTTATGGTGCCAGGTCTTATGTTTAAGTCTTTAATTCATCTGGAGTTAATTTTAGTGTAAGGTGTCAGGAAGGGGTCCGGTTTCTGCTTTCTGCACATGGCTAGCCAGTTTTCCCAACACCATTTATTAAACAGGGAATCCTTTCACCATTGCTTGTTTTTGTCAGGTGTATAAAAGATTGTATGGTTGTAGATATGTTGTGTTGCCTCCGATGCCTCTGTTCTGTTCCATTGGCCTATATCTCTGTTTTGGTACCAGTACCATGCTGTTTTGATTACTGTAGCCTTGCAGTATAGTTTGAAGTCCAGTAGTGTGATGCCTCTTGCTGTGTTCTTTTTGCTTAGAATTGACTTGGCTATGCGGGCTCTCTTTTGGTTCCATATGAAGTTTAAGGTGTTTTTTTCCAGTTCTATGAAGAAGGTCATTGGTAGCATGATGGGGATAACATTGAATCTGTAAATTACTTTAGGCAGTATGGCCATTTTCACAATATTGATTCTTCCTAACCATGAACATGGAATGTTTCTCCATCTGTTTGTTTCCTCTCTTATTTCGTTGAGCAGTGGTTTGTAGTTCTCCTTGAAGAGGTCCTTTACATTCCTTGTTAGTTGTATTCCTAGGTATTTTATTCTTTTTGTAGCAATTGTGAATGGCAGTTCGTTCTTGATTTGGCTCTCTTTAAGTCTGCTATTGGTGTATAGGAATGCTTGTGATTTTTTCACATTGATTTTGTATCCTGAGACTTTGCTGAAGTTGCTTATCAGTTTCAGGAGTTTTTGGGCTGAGACGATGGCATCTTCTATACTATCAATGTCTTCTGCAAATAGAGACAATTTGGCTTCCTCCTTTCCTATTATAATATTGGCTGTTTGTTTGTCATAAATAGCTTCTGTTATTTTGAGATACGTTCCATCAATACCGAGTTTATTGAGGGTTTTTAGCATAAAGAGCTGTTGCATTTTGTCAAAGGCCTTCTCTGCATCAATTGAGATAATCATGTGGTTTTTGTTTTTGGTTCTGTTTATGTGGTGAATGATGTTTATAGACTTGCATATGTTGAACCAGCCTTGCATCCCCGGGATGAATCCTACTTGATCATGGTGGATAAGCTTTTTGATGTGCTGTTGCAATCGGCTTGCCAGTATTTTATTGACGATTTTTGCATCTATGTTCATCATGGATATTGGCCTGAAGTTTTCTTTTCTTGTTGAGTCTCTGCCGGGTTTTGTTATCAGGATGATGTTGGTCTCATAAAATGATTTGGAAAGGATTCCCTCTTTTTTGTATTATTTGGAATAGTTTCAGGAGGAATGGTAACAGTTCCTCTTTGTAAGTCTGGTAGAATTTGGCTGTGAAGCCATCTGGACCTGGGCTTTTTTTGTGTGGTACGCTCTTAATTGCTGTCTCAACTTCAGATCTTGTTATTGGTCTATTCATGGTTTCGACTTCTTCCTGGTTTAGGCTTAGGAGGACACAGTGTCCAGAAATTTATCCATTTCTTCCAGGTTTACTAGTTTATGTGCATAGAATTGTTTGTAATACTCTCTGATGATGGTTTGAATTTCTGTGGAATCTGTGGTGATTTCCCATTTATCATTTTTTATTGCATCTATTTGGTTATTCTCTCTTTTCTTTTTTATTAATCTGGCTTGTGGTCTGTCTATTTTGTTGGTCTTTTCAAAAATCAGCTCTTGGATTTATTGATTTTTTGGAGGATTTTTCGTGTCTCTATCTCCTTCAGTTCTGCTCTGGTCTTAGTTATTTCTTGTCTTCCGCTAGGTTTTGAGTTTTTTTGACCTAGCTCCTCTAGCTCTTTCAATTTTGATAATAGGGTGTCAATTTTGGATCTCTCCATTCTTCTCATGTCTGGAGACAGCAGATGCTGGAGAGGATGTGGAGAAATAGGAACACTTTTACACTGCTGGTAGGAGTGTAAATTAGTTCAACCATTGTGGAAGACAGTGTGGTGATTCCTCAAGGACCTAGAAATAGAAATTCCATTTGACCCAGCAATCCCATTACTGGGTATATATCCAAAGGACTATAAATCGTTCTACTATAAGGACACATGAACACGAATGTTCGTTGCAGCACTGTTTTCAATAGCAAAGACCTGGAACCAACCCAAATGTCCATCGATGATAGATTGGACTGGGAAAATGCGGCACATATACACCATGGAATATTATGCAGCAATAAAAAACAATGAGTTCATGTCCTTTGTAGGGACATGGATGAATCTGGAGAACATCATTCTCAGCAAACTGACACAAGAACAGAAAATGAAATACCGCATGTTCTCACTCATAGGCAGGTAATAAACAATGAGAACACATGGACACAGGGAGGGGAGCACTACACACTGGGGTCTGTTGGGGGGAATAGGGGAAGGACAGTGAGGGGGGAGTTCGGGAGGGATAGCATGGGGAGAAATGCCAGATGTGGGAGAAGGGGAGGAAGGCAGCAATTCACACTGCCACCTGTGTACCTATGCAACTATCTTGCATGATCTGCACATGTACCCCAAAACCTAAAATGTAATAAAAAAAGAAAAGAAACTATTTACATTAAAAAAAGAAAGAAAGAAAAGAAAATGTCAGTTTGGATGACTGTTTTGAGTTGTTGAAGGTCTAATCTTTTTATAGTCATAGAGTATTTGGTGAGAACTGATAGTGGAAGAGTGTGTTTGTTTGTTGTATAGAGTTGTATGTAGCTCTATTTTTTTATGTACTAAATGGAACTTGTTATTCCTCCTGAAAAAGTGCCCTATGAAATGTAAAATGGTGTCTTTTTTAATAAGATGGACTTAGTTATGTATTTTTTTGTTGTTGTGTTTTTGAGATGGAATACTGTCACCTGGGCTGGAGTACAATGGCTTGATCTGTTTACTGCAACATCTGCCTTCAGGATTCAAGCGATTCTCCTGCCTCAGCCTCCTGAGTAGCTGGAATTACAGTCATGCACAGCCATACTCAGCTAATTTTTTTTTTTTTTTTTTTATGTAGAGACAGGGTTTCACCATATTGGCCAGGCTGGTTTCAAATTCCTGATTTCCAGTGATCCACCTACCTTGGCCTCCCAAAGTGCTGGGATTACAGGCATGAACCACCACACCCAGCCAAAGTTAGTTACATCAAGGGTACTCTATACACTAACTAAAGCCTAAATTCTATTACTGGTTCTTTCTAACACCCTCTTACTGAGACAACTCGTAGCTCATATCTCCCCACGATGTGTGTTCTCCCTCACTGCATTGAGTAATAGACTTAATGTGTTCAGCTCTAGGTGTGCTCCTGGTGCCTTTTGGCTGGAAGCCATTGACACACTTTACTTTAAGCCATCAATAACTCTTGCTTAGTCTATTGCAATAGCTTATAATGTTCACTATTTCTCATACATTACTGAGAATCACTCTGTAATAGAGACAATGGTTATTATTTTATTATTATTTTTTGAGACAGTCTTGCTCTGTCACCCAGGCTGGAGTGCAGTGGCATGATCTCAGCTCACTGTAACCTCTGCCTCCTGA